GGGGGGGGGGAACATCGGGAGTAAGTGGATGCAGAGGATGGAGAAGACTCCGGCATCCTCCCCCGTGAAAGCGGAGAGGGAGGGAGTTGTGCTAAACTCGTGATTTTTTGCAAGATTTAGGAGCTCCCTGGTCAACGTAACTCCTGATTTTGGTGGTTTCCAGCCTGGGCATCGGTGCGGGACAAGAGGTTCAGCCACAGAAACAGCAGCTGCTTTACCCTTCCTTCCAACAAGACTCAGGGGCTCATTTCTAAAAAGCTTTTGGCCCAGCTCCTGCATGGCTGGGGTCCTGGGGGAGCAAGCTGGGGCAGGGAGGGTGTCCTCCTCCGCTTGGTGTAAATTCCCCAAAGGCGATACTATTCGCCAAAGGCAATATACTGTTCCCCAAAAGTGATGTAATTCCCCAAAGGCGATGCTATTCCCCAAAAGTGATGCTATTCCCCAAAGGCGATACTATTCCCCAAAAGTGATGCTATTCCCCAAAGGGATGCTGGCTGAGTAGGCTCCAGATGGGGACGTGAAGCCTGGTGAGAGGCAGGGAGAGCAGAGCATGGTGGGGGCTCGCGGGGGCATAGGGAGAGCTGGAAGGGATGCTCGGTCCGGCTGGGAGGTGGGAGCCAACCTCCATCTGACTTTCCTCAGGTTTGTGCCCCCGGGAGACATCTCCTGCACGTCCTCAGGGGAAATTTCCACTTTTGAGCTGGAGCGGAGTCTGCAGAAAGAAACGGCCAGGAGGCAAAGTCCACTCGGAGCGGTCAAGTCTCGCAAGGGGTAAAGCCAAGGTAAGGTCGTGCAATCGGGTGAGGAAAGCCCACGTCTTCAAAGCCCCCGAGCAGCTAGAGAAACACAAGGCAGCGAGCCATCTGGGCTGGGGACAGGCACGCAAGGACCCACCATGGGTCCCCAACGTAAAGCCACCAGCATCCCCCACCACTATCCCACCCTCACATCCAGGAAAGTTCCCACCCTGGCTCGGCGGCCTGGAACCGATGTCAAATAACCGTAGCTGTACAGGATATTTCGGTGATGCTGAAAAGTTAGTCTGCAAGTCACTCCGGTTTAGCACGTAATTCAAAAGTATATCGTTTGAATTAATAAGTAAAGCCCTTCAGGGGAATCTCGTTATGCTGTGAAGAGCATTAGCAAAACACAAGTTGGGAATCAGTTTAGCCAGTTGACAAGCTAGAAACCAGGCAATGGTCCAGGCTGAGCCAAATCAGCAAAGGAGAAGTGAAAGCTCTCTTGGATTTACCTCAGATGAATGACCGTGACCGATTTTTTTAAAGAAACGGGCATTAAAACACTCATGGACAAATTACCAAGTCTACCCAAACCACTGAATTAAATTCAGGGGTTGCTCATGGTCTGACAAACGTCCTGCCAGAAGGCGCCCATTTATTTTTCGCTGCTTGCTGCTTGACAAACCGCTGCGTTCACAGAAAACTCAGCGGATTAATAAACTGATCCCACTGCTTAACTAATTGCAAAAAGCCAAAAAGTGATTTGAGTAGTAGGACGATGGTCATTACAAAAATATCCACTGACTTTGGAAAATTGAGGGCACAACATTTTTACCTCGGAGGGCAGCTTTATGTAGGCCACAAAGTGCCTTGGGTATTTCTTAGAGTCCTCCAGTGTATTCATGTATTATTTCCTCGGATATTCAGTATATTTTTCCAGCAGGCAAGAAACTGGGGCTTCTGTGTACAAGTTTCATCTGCTCAAAATGTGAAAAAATATAGATCCCCTTAGCACATTCTGCTACAGTAGAAGCAAAGTGTAAAAGAAAAATTCCAAATATGTAGATTTAAAAATAAAAACACAGAACTCTCTCCTCCCTGAAAGGGATTTGAAGCAAAAAAAACCCCTGGGCTACAGATAGGTCTAGACTTTAATTGTCGAGTTGCCTAAGAAGAATTGTTGGCCTGAGGTCATTTTAATCAGGTTGCATGTCAGCTTGCAAAATCTCCAAATTAGCTTACAGCTCGGGGAGAGAAAGATGTTTTTCTTTCCTGAAGAACGCAAACAGATTGTTGTGACATGTTCTCAGTCATCATGACAGATCAGATCCCTGCGTTGCGCTGCGAGCCGGGAAAGAAGTCAGCTGCTTCTCCGGCTCCTTCGGAGATTTGGGCATCTCCCAATTTGTCAGAGGCAGGGATGGAGTTTATAGAAATCCTTCTGAAAGTGAGGTTTATATGCAAAGACTCTGATAAAAGAGATTGACCTTAATTGGGAAGCAAGTTTCTTTCACAATTTTTAACAACCTCCAGGCCTTCCTAGCAGTCTGATGAAAGGGAAGTTGTGAAAAGAAACAATCTGTATTTATGCAGCAGGAACTATCATACCCTGAGCTGCGTGCAGAATGACAAGGAACCGGCTCATCCTTTTAAAAAAAGGATTAATTTGCCATTTTCTTCCCGAGTTTGTAAAAAGTAAGGCTGTGGGTGGATTTCAAAACAGGCTGAGTACTTTAGTTAAGATTTATGGCAGGCTCCGAGCCCGTGTGAGGCTCTGCGCTTTGCTGTGGACCCCTCCCAGGGTGTCCTCAGCCTATGTGTCCAGTTCAGTCCCTTGGCTCTAGCACATTTGGATGCTTTTTTCTCTTTACTTCTCCATGTTCGGTTTTTCATCTGCATCCGCAAATGGCTCCGACGAGATCGCAGCGGGGAGAGGAAGCAGGAGGACAGGACCTGGGGTTGGTGACTTGGTTTCATCTCGAAGGGCTACCAGAGGGAGAGGCAAGTGCAAATTCATGACAACTGGCTGACAGTGGGACACGTCTCACCTATCTGGTGGCCCCCAAGGGTCTGTACCTCAACTACTAACCAGCAGCATCTCGCTCCCAGGAAGAAGGAAAGAAATAGACGTCTCCAAACGGCGATTCCTCCGACTTTTAGCTGCTACCTCTTTCTCTTAACTAGTTCAGGCACCTTATTTAGGGAAAATGAATCTATCCGTCCTTGGTAGTGGCCAAGGGCTCAGTGTTGCCTACAGCCAGGAAAGGACACAGGCAGAAGTAGGAGCCTTGTCCTGAGACCCTGGCATGCTGCAAATGTCGGTGCATGCCTGGGCAGAGACGGACCTGGGGCGGCTTTGCCGGAATGGAGAGGACGGGACGCGCAGCAGGCGCTCCTGCGTTCTCTGCGAAGGAGCCATCCTGAATAGCTGACGTAAGACCCCCAGGCCTTTAAAATTGGATGGGACAAGAGGGTGGGGGGATCTCTCCGTTGGGACAACCCCAGCGGCAGCAGAAGAGACTGTATTTCCCTCTCCCCACTTTTTCTTTCTGTGATTCTGCAAGCCAAGAGAAGTCACAACCGTACGTCTCTGGGAGCCGCCAGTTTCTTTCTCCCAAAGGCCTCCGCATTGACAGCAGAAAAAAATCTTCATCTTCCGTGTTGTAGGAGTTTGAGGACTTTGTTGTTGTTGCTGTTCGCTGGCTCCCTGCCATCAGCCCTGGTGGGACCCAGGACAAGGCAGCAGTGCCACGCAACCCAGATGTCAGCAAACCGTTAATCCCAAGGGACAGACCCCCGGGGTGAGATTCCTGCTGCAACTTCTCCAATTAGACGGCTTACCTCCTGCTTTGCCTCCGCTTTAGCCATTTCGGACCTAACATATTTTATTGTTCAGGCTCCTAGTTAAACGGCTGGGAAGCTCTGGATGCAAGCACGCAGAGATTACTGGTTCAATAATAGAGTCGGGCACGTTGGCTTTACTTCGTTTTTGCTAATAAAGCTGCAAAATAAAGCTGTTGACTCTTCTTTCATCAGCATCAGCCCCATGAGGCTCTCCCATGTCTCGCCTGGTGATTAGAGCGGAGGGCTGGGAACACGGGTCTGGAGTTCAGCCCTTAATGAGCCACCCGTTCAGTGTGTTTCACTCGGGGCTCTTGACCTCTTTGCACCTCGGCCAACTCAGCTGTAAAACTGGCTGAAGGGCGGACCTTGTGGAAACGAGCCACCGTGCCCCAGTTGAGCCTTGAGTCCAGGTTTCCCGGGTAAACACGAAATAAAAATCGACAACAATTTGAATCTGCGGCGACCCAGCTCAAATGCCAGGAGGACGTCAGGCCTCGCCAGCGTAAACAGCATCCGTCTCTGGGGTCCCCCGTTACAATGTCAGAGCAAATCTAAGTTGAGTCCCTGTGATTTGAGCTGCAGTGAAAAAACAAGGTGCTGCAGACACTGGCATGGACGAGGCAACGTGGTGCCAGCTCCGGTACCCGGGTGCATCGGTACCTGCAGCACCGAGCAGTGCTGGGAAAACCCGGGTGGCACGCACCCATCCAGGCGGGGATGAGATTCCCCCAGCCGTAGGGAGCGAGGTCCCCGTTAGTCTCTAAGTCTCCAAGCCGCGAGACAGCCCACAGCCCATCCATCCTCCAGGAAGGCTCCTCATGACAAAACTGGCAGGAATCATGCCAGAATGTTTCCATCCTGATCCCACAGCCAGGATGGCTGCAGCTGCTGGCAGCTCTGTTTTAGCACTCACTGCTCAACGTAAGAGAAGGAAATGGAAAGAGGATTTCATGTCTGGTACAGCTTGTCTGCTGTGTAACACCTTCTGGGTGTGATGGGGATGCTGAAGAGAAGTCCTGCCTCAGCCATCGGACCCTGCCCAACACACACACGCGCCTGTTCGCATGAAACACGGTGGTTTCTCCCAAAGTTGAGACCAGTCGAGAGATTTTTCCCTTTTCAATGGGAGGTTGCAGGTCAGACTCGGAGGTGGCATAGAGGAGCCAGAGCTGCCAAGCTGGCACTTTGTGAGGGGGCAGTGAAGAAGGGAGAGGGACCATCCCTTGGGATTTCAGTGGTGTGAGGTCAGCCTTGCACGTGCTGTTTGTCACGGCAGGCTTAGTAAAACGGAGCCAGACAGTTTTTGAATAGAGGAAGAGCATCTGGGATCCAGTCAATCCAGTCCTGTGGCAGGACCATTTGTTCCCACACCTTCTCTGCACCTCCTCATACAGTCCTCCACCGTGCAGCCATGTGGAGACGAGACTCCTGAAGCAGAAAGCTTTTCCTTGGACATCAACAAGAGTCCCAGATGTATTTCTCCAGATATCTCAACATTACGTCGCCTTGCACCATGCAGATATACCCAACCAAACGTAGGCTTGGAAAGGGCTGAGGTTGAGAACTGTCTTATAAAGCCTTCTCCATACCAAGTACCTACCACTTATAACCCCACTAAAGTGCCCTTTAGTGACTGGTGACTTGTAGGTGTGGAGAAGAGGCTGGCATGAGGCGTCTTCTGGAGTTGGGAAGGTGAGTATTTACACGGTGTTTCCACCGTACGAGGTGGTGGGATCGGTGTGGGTGGCTGGGTGTGAGCCCAGACCTTCAGCGTACAACGGAGATCTGTGTTCTGGTGTAAGGATCCTTTCGCTGAGGATTTTCCATCCCTTGAGGAAAATATGCTAACAAACAGGCTTCAAATAATTAAACAAATCACATTGCAGGCAAAGCCAAGCTGATCTTTAAAATGCATTATCCTCAGAAGGGGAGAGAAATGCTCGGTGCTTTATGCCTTCCTCCGACTTCTTCACACATTTAACTAATTCATCGCACGAGGGACCACCCAGCTGCGTCTCGACCACGGAGCAAAGGCTATGCCAGTCACTTCCGTCTTTAAAACCAGTATTGCCACAGCTGGGGGCCAGGTTCCTTCAGCGCCAGCAAGGGGGAACAAAGCTCTTTTCATCAGGCCAAGCTTGCACGGAGGACGTCGCTCTCGCAGAGCCACTTGTAGGTCTCGGCCAGGAAGGGTGGGCTTCTCTCGGGGCAAGGAGATGCTCCGGGGCAGCTGCGGCCACCTCCTCGCAGGAGCGGGGAGTCACGCGTGGTCACGGCTGGGGATGAGTTTGGCTTTCTGTGGGCAGAGGCAAGGAAATCGGCTACCTTGAGCATCTCCTCTTGGCCACCGAGGCCATGGGTGGTGGAAGCCTTCGAAGAGAGGAAGGCAGAGCAGCTGCGAGGCAGTTCCCTCCACCTAGGGCAATAGCTCTCTGCAAGCTAACTCTTCTTCTTCTTCCCCCCCAAAACAGCCCCAAAAACGCCTGGAGGCAAGTCCTTACTGTCTGTGCCAGACAGGCGAGCAGCTGGAGGCACCAACCAGAAGGTCCATCAGCAAGGAGCAAGGAAAGCCCAAGCCCATCCTCAGCCCCGATGTCCCCCCAGCCCGGTGGTGGGGCTGGGCTTCTCCCCAGCACTCGTCAGACCCCATGGAGGAAAAAACGGTGGGCAGAGGCCGCTGCCACCCCCTCTCCAATTAGTCCGGTTCCCCGCGGCGGTGTTTTCCAGCTCCTCAGCTCTCCCCCATGCCGTGCGTGGCCCGGAGCAGATGGGCTATCACACGTGGAGCTTAAATTATTTGACAGTTGCCCCTTTTCGGGATTAGGGAACGCCGTGGCAATGGCCGCTCGTGGCACCGTGAGGCAAACCCCGACAAAAAAAGTCTGTGCTGAGGGTCCCGGCGGCAGCCCCGGCTGCGAGGCCCACGGCAGCCAGGCCTTTCCAGGAGCTCACGATCCCTTCTCCCACCTCGCCCGGCCTCCATGTTCAGGGCCTGCCATTCCTCCCTCCATCCCTCGCTCTTCCAGGCTCTCCAAGGGGAAAGGTCCCCGGCTTTTTTCCTGCTATTTCTCAAGCGTTTGCTCCCCTCAGCAGACCACACCACACAGGCATGAGGGCCCCGCAGCTCCAGGTTTATCAAATCCCATCTTGGGGAAAGGAGATTTGGCCTTAGCCAGGCCAAAATTATTATCGTTGTTGTTGCTAGAGCTTGATTTCATAAGGAAAACCATGGAGGGAGGACAGGGAGTGCCCAGAAATTATGATTGTTCTTGGTCTCTCTCTTATCTTTTATCTCTCAAGGAAATATTTATCCAAGCAGTCCGTGGCTCCGGTTGAGCCATGGCACTGTCTGCTGGATTTTCCAGTGAGAACTTACCCATTTTCTCCACCGTGTCCCACCCTAAGCACAGAGGTCCTCGGAGGGAACGCAGCTCTCACAGCCTTCAGTGGGCAATGGAGAGGCCCTGGGCCACCTTGATGGACATGTCATAGTCTCCACAGGTATTTCTGAGGACCAACAATCTCAAGAAAAGGGATGTGAAGCAAAAAAAATTTAAAAAAAAATCAACGCAGCACTAAAATTCAGCAGAAGACATGGTTATGTATTGTTTTTTTCACTCTCCCAGGTTTAGTTTCTTAAATCTGATGTGAGGGAGGGTTTTTTTGGAAGAATTTTTTTTTTCTAAAGTAGAGATCTGAATCTGGGGGAAGAAGTATTATAGATTGGATCAAAAATAGCCTGGTGTAAGAAGCTAAATGAAAGAACAGAGCATAGATGAATAAGGATTAAACTTGCTGGAATCAACCTGCGCAAATGTCTCACAAAGGTAATGAAAGCAAAAAAAAATGTTTAAAGTGTTGTCAGAAGGGTGAGTAAAATATACGTTTCAAGAGATTGGATTTGTGAAAAACATTCCGGCACTGCAGGTGCCTCCGGGACAATCTCATTGGAAAAATTCTCTAAAGTCGGGTCATGAAATTATTAGAAGAACAGTGCATAGATCGAAAAAGTGAAATCTAGTTGATTCATGGGTGCTTTTGGATGAGGGGGGGAAAAAAAAAAAGCCAGGCTCAGCCTTTGCTACAAAGCAAAAAGAAACTTAGATTTCTCATCAAACTGTAAAGAAGCCTCTGGGAAAGAAACAGATTGATGCTACCAAGTTGTTTAAGATAATAACTACCTCCAAAGCACAAAGCCGTGGTTGGAGGTTAAGAAAGAAAGTAGCCTGTGAGCAATTTACACAGAATAGCTACAAAGGAGACCACATGGTTAAAGGTAGGAATGAAAGCATGTTAAGGACAGCTAGTTATTTTATTTCTTTAATTCAAGGAAAACAGAAGGCATAGCCACTAGCTAAATTAAGAAGAATAAGATGAAGACATATGGATAGATGGGATTCAGCCCTGGGGAAAAACAAATCAGCCTTTAGTGTCCTGGGGTGAGGAAGAGCAAACCGTGATGGGCCATATGTCCTCACCCGACTGCAGGAGGGAAGAGGAAGGATTCGGGATGAGCGAAGTCCTGCACCGAGCACGTTTTGGGCCATCCTTTTGAGCTGTCCTGCTGAGAATGCACCCCAAGCAGAGCAAATGGGGATGCCCATCTTCTCCAGAGAGTAGCATCAGAGCAAAGGACGTTGCAGGGCTTTCCAGGGAGAATTTCATGGCCTAGCAGGAAAAACAACGGTTTGGGTATTTGAAATTCCGTGTGTTGCTGGTCAAAGGGAGGACGGTGTCGGCGCAGGCCGTGCACAGGCCAGGGGGAGAGATGAGGAAAAGTGAGCATCCCAGGGACACCTCAACATCCAGGGCCACCACGGAGACGAGAGCCATGGCAATGACATATAAACATGGGTTTTCATCCTTTGGTCTCACTGCCAGCAAGAATCCTTAGAGTTTCTCAAAATCTTCAGGCTGTCATCAGTTAAATATCTATATTGGGTTTGCGTTGCAAGGTT